AATAGAATGATCAGAATCATATCAGTATCTGCAACCTGTCTTGATTAAATTGGTAGTGCAGTGGGCTAACCATAATGATTTTCATAATATGAAACAATTTTGCTCCTTCTGCTTTTAAATATGTAATAGGCTGAGATGATGTGGAGATCTTAATGAGCTAGTTAAATATTAATACAGGTGCATACATACACTATAAGCTGGGAAGAAAAGTTATTCGGTTATTAAAACACCAAGAGATAACAAACCCTCAGTGTTAAATATATTCCCAAATAAATAATTTGGCTACATTTTTAAGCAATAATAACTACATACAACTACACACTTTTCAGTGCATTTGTAGCATAAAGCAAAGATCTCTTAAATTACAAGAACACCTATACTTAAGCATATTACTTCGTTCTTCTTTATTATATCTTCCTCTGCATACTGCAATTCATAGAGATGGTCAAACGGTTTCAGAAACATTTTCAGTATCTCAGGATTCACAGCCCCAAACTGTCATGTTCACGAACACTAAAATGTTCAAGACTTTTTCTTAATTATGGCAGTAAAATTAAAGGGAACAAGCCCACCATCAGAATCTGAGGGACCTAACCTGGAATTTTTTCAGTCATTCACCATGTATAACAGTAAATAAGTTACCTTGTCCACCTTCAGATAGGAATGATGATAAAAATAAAGTTGAGTTGTTCTGAAAATTGAGATACAAAGCATAGATAATGCTTATTCAGCAACTATTAGCTATGTATAAAATTTATAAAATTTGGTATTTGCTTGTAGAAGAATATAATTATTCCATGAGTATCAATTTCTCTCCCCAACTATACTTCAAATTCAGTAAGCACTAAATCTTCACATACTTCTTTTGAATATTTCATAATCTAGTAGACCAGATAATGTACAGTAGTGTAAAACTAATTTTTATTCCCTTAGAATCATATGAGATTCATATAAGAAAACTTAATGTACCTGTTATGGCTTGTATCCAGATGTTCCCTCAAAACCACATGTGCTCATAGGTAGGGCTTTTCAGAGCTGGCTGTATCTAAGGTATGTTACACTGGGATTAAGGGTATGGTAATAAATTAGTCCACTGATTGAAATTAGAATAGTTCTAGGTAGGGATAATAGGAAAGCCCATCTTGGGTGTGTGTGGCACCACTAAAAAGGCTTGTTGCCTGGATAGGATAGAAGGAAAAGGAAAGGTTGCTGCTTTACTGCTGCTGCCTCCTGCCTACCTTGCCATCAACTGTTTCTCCTTTTCCATGCCCCTCTGCCATGCCATCCTGCCTTGGAGTCAGCAGATTATGGACTGAAACCTCTACAAACTGTTGCTGAAATAAACCATTCATTCTTTAACTTGTGAGTGTCCAGTATTTTGTCTTAGCAATGAGAAAAGTAATTAAGATACTACCCAAAGAGGAATAACTTATGTCTTCATTGCAAAGATATTAATGGTCATTAAACTGTGTGCCTGAAGAGAAACAAAGGTGAAAGTCTCCAAAGTTGCTGAGCCCTGACAGGGATGTAACTATCCCTAGAACAAGGGAATGAAGCCCTCCAATGAGATTCCAGGATGGGCTGACTCTAACAACCTTTGGTGGTTTTTTAAAGAATGGTGATGAATTATGGACAGAGACCATTCTGAAGAGAATGTTATGTCACAGGCTTTACATGAAGTTACAGAAACTGAGAAGTATGAGGAGGTAATAGAGTAGAAGCAGCTCAAGAATCTGAGCTGGGTTTCAGTTATATCACAGAAGAGTAACATTCATCCAGAAGTAAAACACAGACAGAAATAACTGAATATCAATGCTTGAGAAAAATAAGTGGTCTGGCATCAACACTGAGTGCTGTTATGGTTTAGATCTAAAAGATCACCAAAAGTTTCATATGTTCAGAGGTGGGACTTTCATAACGTGATTGGATCAGGGGGACAGTATAGTCATCAGTGGATTAATCCATTGATGAGTTTGTAGTTGAATATGCTGTTAGAAGGTGAGGCCCATTTAGAGGAGGTGGGTCTTTGAAGGTATGCTTTTAGAGGGTATCTTTTCTGTGGCTCTTCTCTGGCTCTCCGCTTCCTGGCTGCTGTAGATTGAGCAGCTTTCCTCTGCCATCCTTCTTCACCCTGCCATTTCTGCCTTGGAACCAGGTAACCATGGACTGAACCCTCTGAAACTGTAAACCAAAATAAACTTTTTCTCCTTTTAAGTTTGCCTGTCAGATATTTCATCCAGGAATGAAAAGCTGACAAATATATGTGTTTAAACATATTTTCTTAAGTAGGAGAAATAATTCATATTGATTGAAATATATCTGCTTTATATTAAAGATGCATGATTTTGTACCTCAACAAAGAATTTCTGTCAAAAATCTAGATTGAAAAATTTTTATAAGACTGCTTGAATAACCATGTTTGTATTTTATCTAAATGATGCTAAAACATTTTTAAATATCTTTAAGATACAAAAAAGAGAGAAGAAATCAGCAGCTATTAGCTAAAGGAGTGACTGCTCTTTAATATTAACAAAAATAATATTGTCATGGAGTTAAAAGATGTGTGGATAGCAGATTAATTTAATTTCAAATCTACCATAGCCCCTGAGAGTTACAGGCTATTTTTAAGCGTGAATATGAAATTTATCACATGACAGTTGGTTTGCTGAAGTTCAAAAGGAAGAGAACTGACCAGGCCCCAAATGCAAACCTATAGATGTTGCTCTTTTTTCTTCCATACATAGGGATGTGTTACTGCTGTTGTCACTGACTAGAGTCAAGTTCTCAAGTAGGGATCTTTTCAGCTACTTTAGGGAATGGTGGAGCATTGAAGATGCTTTACCTGAAGCCTAATTGTCCAAGTTCTTATGTGAGTTCTACATTTAGAATAAGTAAAACACTAACAATCTATTCTAAACTGCCTAAGAGGTCAACTGTGTATGTACCTGCATCTTTAAGTTTTACACCTAAGACTTTTAAGGTGTTAAAGAGCATTCAGTGTGTGTGTGTGTGTGTATGTGTGTGAGTGTGTGCGTGTGAGCTTGTGTGTGTATGTGTATTTATGTGTGTCCTATATATATTAGTAAAAGGTTCTTTAATTTTAAAAAGTTTAAATGCTACACTCTGGTATTTGTCTTACAGTTTTCCGCATTTAAAAAAGGAGGGTTATTATGAGTCCTACAGATCAATCCTGAAACTATCATCAAATGGTCGTAGCTGTTGTAGATGTTTCAGACTCTTAGAAAAAGGCGGAAAATACCTCTTAGGAAACACCTGTTAATACTTTCAATGAGTTTGAGTGGGAGAGGTATAAATGAACAGGAAAAAGGGGCTGAAAGTGAATATAGAAACATTCTACTCATTTACTCATACTATGATGTCCATAAAATTTTTATCTCTCTTGGTGTAAATGATTTTTTTGGTTACTTCATTTCTTATATTTCTCTTGACAGATTACTCACATACAAGGAGTGATCACAATAGTAAGACACATTGCCATTAATCCTCCTCAAGATATAGTAATGTCCTGGTTCATGACTGCTTCTCTCTGCAAACTGTTTGATTCACAAAAGCGTTCCACAAAATTTTGCTTCCATTCATAAACTCCACATCGGGTGACAAACACGACCATGGCCATCTTCCCCACACAAACACAAATGTAGCCATCTTCCTCCAAATTGTAAAACAAATTAAGTTCATAAACTGATGTACCACTGTAACCCACCCGCTCACATTAGATATACTTAATCCCATGGTTCTTGCCACTATCCGAAGCAGTTCTGGACATCTTCTAGATGTCTTTACAAGTTGTAATAAAAATATAGCAAATGTTGCTGTGAGTGCCACTCAAAGGAAAGGCAAGCTTGTAAAAACATGGTGTGTACTTATCCACCTTTTTCCCTAGATCAAACACTGTACAACTTCTGGCTTTTCCTCAAAGACAAAATGACCGGGAAGGATAAAATTTTTAATTCATGCAGGACATTGAGGCACCCACAACAGCACAACTAAAGATGCTTATAAAAGAAGACTTCCAGAACTGCTTTGGAAAGTGGCAAGAATGATGAGATAAATGTGTTTGAATCGGGGGGGGTAGTATTGTGAGGAGTATTACTGGCAATATGTCTTTTACAGTAATAATTTTTTTTTAAATTTTAAACATTTCTCATATTTGTTGATTCTATCTCATACATTTTTCTTCAGTTTTGCTTGCTAGTCTTTTAAATTTAACAATTTAATTAGGAAATTTCTAATCTTTGTCAGGCAGTGAGAAAGGGTAGACAGCTAGTCAAATGGTCTCAAAACTTGCAGAGAAACTTCTATTTTAGAAGAACCTATTTCAAATAAGTATTTTGTTTCATTTTCATGTGTAAGCATAGCTTTTATTGATGAAGACAATTTGTGAAGTATAAATAGTCTGTTCAAAGTTACATCTGGGGCTTTATGAAAGAACCCCAGGGCCGGGGATTTAGCTCAGTGGTTCCGCCGCCTGCTTAGCAAGCACAAGGTCCTGAGTTCGATACCCGGTACCAAAAAAAAAAAAAAAAAGAACCCCAGCTACATAACCCCCTATACTTGGTTATGTACTTTCTCTTTTAAAATGTCCACAGGCTGCTTCCTGTGACCTAAAGGGCCAGATCTATAATACCTGTTTCATAGATTACAAGAAATACCACGGACTTGCTCAAGGTCACACAGATCATAAAAGGCAAAGGCATACTTATTGTTTCTCCAGCCACCAACACAGTAGAAGTTTTGTTTACTTTTTTCTTTGGAAGACTGTTGAGGAACATCACTTGACAACATACCATAATTCAGTTTCCATGTCATCAAAAGGCATCACCTGACAGTCTTCGAAACAGAATGTCCTGCAGCAAAAAAGCTGGAAATCAAAGCTTTTAGAACCCACAGGGACAGAACAAGGCAGAAACTTTTTTCCTTACACACTTATACATCCAGTACCTCAGAATGAAGAACAGCATCAGTTCAAAGTCACTTACCCAAATCTGAAGCTTGATTCTCTTTTCATTTTTGAATACAGTTTTTACTTTGAAATCAATCCCAACTGTGCTGACGAATGCAGATGTAAAGGAGTCATCCGCATAACGGAACAGAAAGGATGTTTTCCCCACACTGCTATTGCCGATGATCAGCAATTTGAACATGTAGTCAAAATTCTGATCAGAAGAGTCTTTCTGGCCATACCTGGAATCTTGGGCAGAGGCCATCTGTGAAACATTAAAAAGGAAAAAAAGCAAACAGATATGGATAAGTTTCCTATTTAATATGAAGCTAGCAGCACATTCATTATTGACTTCGCTAGAAACAGATGTTAGACATTCAGAAGGCAAGTGGAGAGTGTTCCTTAATCTTCCTCTGATGCTGGTATCCATGGCAATAATTCCCTGTTGGAAAAGAGAACAGCAAATTGTACAGCTCTTTCCAGCTGTGTTGGTGCTTGTCTCATCTCCGCATTCAGAACCAATCAAAGACACCAAAGGAGGTATCTCTAAGGATAACATGAAAAGCAAAGATGTGCGGAATTGGGCAGGGCATGAGGGCTCTGAAACTTTGTAATCGCAGTGATGGAGCTACCAAAGTGACTGAACAGCAGGTGTTTCTTCTTAAATTATTTGAACTATTAGAGTCTCTCTTATTTCCTATGGGAGTATACACAGAGCATATCTCTGTTTCATCTATGGACATCTTATCAAATCAACATCCTAACAAAAATGTAGTCTCTTTCAAATTAAATATGATGTTCAAGTAATGGTTCATATTGTTCCATTCAGTGTGTCAGTACTGTTAACTCATTTAGCACAACAACCTAGTGAGCTGAGTATCTTTATTATTTCTATATTTAAATGAGAAAATTGAGGCTCAGGGATATTAAATAACTTCCTCATGCAGGAGAGTCAGTACTCAAAGCTGGCAGTTGGTGCAAGGATTCAAGTGATGCAGTCTAGGGAAATAGGCACAAGTGCTCTAAGAAGACCATGTGGGAAGTGATCACTGTGGGAAGCATCCATGATGAGCCCTACCTAGGTTCAAATGATGACTCCATTATTACTGGCTGTGTGACCTAGGCTTTATCATTTTAAATTGGTATAGCACAGTACCCTTTCTTTCATGAAATGGAAAAAAATAAAAACTAACTTGAAATTCTTATGAAACTATTCAATAATATAACTGTAAAGCAGGTTTGTAAATCACCCTAGAACAGAAAATGGTCTTATATTAATTATAAACACTTTAGATGGATGTTGATAGTTTTCTCATCTTTTTAATGATAATTTTAACATACATCAAGAATGATGTTTTATTACTTCTAAGCACTATTTGAATCAATATAGAAAATAGGCATTTAAAATGGTGAATCCCACTGAGAAATTAGTGTATCTACTCAGTACATTTTCTGATGATGTGTATTATTTGGCAATTATTGTGCTATCCAATCTGTTAACCACTAATCACATATGGCTAAACTATGTTAAAGTTAAATAAAATATAAAAACTTAGTTTCTCAATCACATAAGCCACATTTCAAATACACAAACATGTGGCTAGTGGGTACTCTATTGGATGCTTTAAACATAAAATATGGCATAATTACTGAAAGTTCTCTCGAACAATTCTAGGCTACATGTTCTACTTTTATTCCAATAAAGGCTGACTAATAATTACATCTTTTCTCTTGGGTATTCTATGGGTTGGATACAGTTTCATGTGATGGAAACTTGGTTCCCAGTGTGACAGTTTTGAGGAGGTAGAAACTTTAAGAAGTGGGGTTTGATAGAAAGTTATTAAGTTTGGGTAACACCTATAAAGGGGATTAATGTTGTTATCAAGGGACCTTGATTAGTTACCACAATAGTAATTGCTATAGAAAGTGTGAATCTGACCCTTAAATCTCTCTGGCTTTCTGTCTCACCATGTGATGTCATGTTCATGCAGATACTCCCACTATGATGCCATTCACCATATTGTGACATGGCCTAAAGTCCGTCCAGAGCTCAGCAGGCACCAGCACCAGGCTCTTAGACCTCAAGAACTGTGGGCTAAATAAACTTCTTTTCTTTTAGAGTAACTAGCATCAGGTATGTTTTAAAGCAAAAAAGAATGGACTAATCAAAGTAAGAGGAGGACAAAAGAAGCCTGTACAGATGGTGAAAGCTAGAAACAGTAAACAGTAGCTCATCTAAGATAGCATCACCTACCTGAAATTAGAAAGTCAAGAGCCTGTATATGAGTATGTGTGTGTGTATGTGTGTATTTGAGAGAGAGAGGAAGAGAGAGAATATTTTAAGTGAGAAGAGAAAAAAGAGATGAGATAATATATTCCCCTTCTACAAATATTTCTTTCCAGCAAGAGAATATAATCATGCATATAGGAATGAGGACGAAAGGAATATCTGCATATATCATGAAAGTTAAGGTCAGTAAGGATTCTGATTGAATCTCACATTTTCTTATTAAATGTAAGCTTAAGCTTTCCTTTGTTCAGTCCATTTAATCACATGTACATATTCAGAAATTGTGATGACTTGTAAGAAGTGTTTGTTACTGGGCAAAACTTGCCTTTAAAACAGGCAAGCCTCACCTCACTTCCTAGCAGTGCAAAGCATATGCTAAGGTAAATGTTCTCTAACACAAGCAGTCAGCCAAGAACAAGCAAGGTTACAATTTTTGACTAACAATTTGAACAGCAGTTTTACTCTGATGACTTAAGAAGCCCTAAAGGCAAGTGATTATTCTGTTTGACACTGCCATTCCCTACAGATATAGCCCTTTCCCCAACCATTACTTTTTCTAGGAGATACTAGAGCAGGCCTTCAAATAGCCTTCATTTAAAAGGTCCATTTGCATATTTTTTTTCATATAAACCAAGCCTAAATTCTGAGTTCTGCATCAAAAATGTTCAGCCACACCAGAGCCAGAAATGAGTTCAAATTTCCTATGACTGCTCATTTATTCAGCCTACTGGACCACTACTGTGTAGTGTGCTCCATAGTTCTGAGGTGGTATTCCAACAGAGTCCTGTGTATCTCCGAGTTGCCTTTAAAGAAAATGTGATGAAGACTACTGCTATTAATCCAGACCCTATTTCAAAACTAGATTGATTCCAGAACTGAAGTAATAGAGACACCATCAATATATGTAATTGTGAATGTAACTGTGGGGCTACAGATAGAGATAACCATACTCACACAGCAAAACCTGCAGTTCAAGGGCAAATATACTTTGCTGTCTTGGCAGCAAAGAACATGACGGGAGCACAAGAGGAAGTTTAAGATGAGGGACCTGGTGGATGCATGTATCCAGAGGAATTCTCCTCAGAGCAGAGTCTCTGAGGATTAATTAGAAGAGTTAACTAGCTCACTTATTCTTGAAGATTGCATTTATTGTTTGTTTTTCACCATTTCCTGATTTATATCCCTAAAACCATTCACAAAGGAGACAAAAATAAGCATTGGAAATGCATATGCATTTTGTAAAACTTCATAAGAATGGAATAAATCCTGGCTCCGAAGACAGAGACAACCCTAATCCTGCTGAGAACAGAAATGAATCAATATGACAGAATATGAATATCAAAGGGGCTTACAGACAGACACTATGCAAATCTAGTGACAGCTCTAAATATGAAGTCATGCAAACATTTTTAGAATTTTTATGGAAAAACATAACTGAAATTTAAAAACATTAATAGAGTATGAAGTTACCTCTCAGAGAACAAGTCAGGTTTTGTAAAAGATAAATGAAAAGTTACTCCTTGAATAGCATTAATCTTGCATTTCAAAAAGAAAGAATCAGGCCAGGGATTTAGCTCAGTGGTTCTGCCGCCTGCCTCACAAGCATAAGGACCTGAGTTCGATCCCTGGTACCAAAAAAAAGAAAGAATCATAGAGTTGGAAAGATGCTTCAGGGCAGTACAACATCCCACCCATCCTGAGTATCTTTCATGGCACAGTAGGGTCTCTGGTTAATGTCCTAGCCTAGGCCTCCACACAGAGGGACAAGTGCTTCACTATGTATGCCATGAACTGGACTGTTTCATTGCTGAAAATTTCCAGTTGTTGGACAATTCTTTCTTACACTGCATTAAAATAGACCTCCCGCAGCCTCTGCCCCTGTGCTCTAGATTCTACCTTCTGAATAAAGAGAGTTGATTTCTCTCCCATCTGAGAGAACTTCAGGTATCTGAAGGAACTACTCGTAGCTCCATTAGCTCTTTCCTCTTGCTTGGATGATCTCAAAAGTTTTATCTCAGGAAATCCCATACAGGCTATTGAGTTAAAACTGACACATCTCCTATGTGTCAAACTCCTATGTGTGGCTTCCACGATTGGTCACAATGCTTCAGATATTTATCTGGTCAGTGCACAGTAAATCAAACTATTACATTTTATCACACTTGACTTAGCAGTTAAGTTTCCTAAAATGCACAGCACTTTTTTTCACATTGTTAATATGAAACATTAACACATGTCTCCTGTATCCCATCCTTACCCTATATTGTCAAGTTACATCTTTTTGGGTTTTTTTTTTGTTTTTTTGGTACCGGGGCTCGAACTCTGGTCCTTGCGCTTGTGCAGCAGGTGGAGAAACCACTGAGCCAAACCCCCAGCCCTTCAAGTTACATCTTTAATGGAAGTGTTAACCTTTACATGTACCATATTAAATTTATTTTTGTTTCTTAATTTAAAAGTTAATTCTTATCTGATAATTTTATATTATTTCATCAAAAATAGTAGTTATTCCTTTTAGATCTGTGTCATTCCTAAATTTATCAGTATGTACTTTATACATGCATCTAAGTAAGACCCTGATCAAAATGGTAATCAGTTTGTAGACAAACAACAATTAAGTCTTTAACCTGTTGGATGTACAAATCTATGGATAAGACCTCCACAATACCTCATTATGGAATTCACAGCATTTGAAGCAAATCCTCAACTTTTGAGAATGGATGTCTTGGATAGTCATGTGGTTTAGTAGCAGGTAAACAGATCACAGACATACTTGAAGTGACACCTTAAATCTCAATTTTATTTCCCCAAAGCCTTACCCATCAGGGGCCATACAGATTATCTCTAACACATGCAACCATAGCCTCCTTCAAAAGCTTTCACATTTGTTTTTCAAACTAAATGGGAAAAACAAATTACTTTCAGGGAATCACATAGGACATTTAAAGATCTAAACCACAGTAAATCATTTTATGGATCTGATGGGAAAAACTAAAAGAAGTCATTTTCAAGTTACTATGCTCAACTACTACAATATGAGATAATAACCTGAGAGTCACCAGGAAGGTAAATGAGGGTAAATTACAAAAAAAAAATTTTTTTTTCTTGGAAATTAAAACCTTAAAAGAAAGGATGGAATATATTAATTAGAAGTTTATAAACACAATAGTTTCAAATCTCAATAATTTTTATTTTAGGGAAAAAGAAAAAAATATTACTCTTGAGAGGTCCAAAGTAAAGACTAAAATTTTTAAGCCAATATGATTCTGGGTTTTTTTGGTACTGGGGATTGAACTCAGGACCTTGAGCTTGCTTGTGAGGCAGGCAACGGCACCACTGAGCTAAATTCCCGACCCTAAGCTAATATGATTCTTAATTTTGACTGTCAATTTGATTAGCCATAAAGATGCCTAGGAAATTCATAAAACATATTTCTGTGTGTGTCCACAACCTTAGGGCCTGGCCCCTTCTTCTGGGACTTCCCTAAGATGCTGCCTGGCCACCAGATTGTGCACAGCGCTCCTCTGCCATGCCCTTCTGCCATAATGGTTTTTGCTTTTCAGTCTTAAGTCAAAATAAACTTTTTTCCCCTTAAGTCATGTATATTAGGTATTTTATCCCAACAACAGAAAAGTGAGTAATACAGCCAGGAAGGAAAAATTAACAGTCAGAATTTCCAAATAGTTTTCATCTGGAACCAGGATGTGTGTCCATCAGTGAACATGTCTGCCTGCCTCCCTGTTTCTCTTGGAGACTGGATTAGAATTATGGTCCCCTTTGCTCTCTCTGGCCAGTTATTTCTCCATGGCTCCACTATTGTTTCCTCTGGTAGCTGAGAAGCAAGAAGACACTCATGTCAATGTTGACAACTCACCCTGGAGCTGAAAGGATGCTTTCCAGGGAATGTGAAGTGACCAAGGCATGGAAGATTTAAACTCTAACCCTGCCTTCTGAAGTAAAGAGCCTACAAAAAATGAGGAAGCATTTATAAATCTTCTTTGTCTCCTTTCTTTATGTAAGTAGAGCATAAATACCTAATGGGACTCACAGGAGAATGTATGTGATAGTATGCAAATTATGGTGATATTTCCAAGAGGCAAATCACCATACACTCTAAAGATATTCGTCAAGCTTTCCTTTCTCAATTGTCCTTTAAGCATCTCTCTGGATCCCCATCTCACTTATAGCTTCTTTGGTAGCTGTAGATAACTCTCAACTCACAGAAAAATGGTTAAATAATAATAGCAACACAGCTCTTAGAGGTGCTACACTGTGTGCTTTTCATACATGATCACAGTAAGAGATCTATTCATCGCCTCATTTAGAGACAGAGTCCTTCAGCATATTTTTAGATGACCACTTTTCCCTTCCCCTGCTGGAACCATGAGGATGTTTTTCTCTGATGTTCACTCTGATGATCTGACAGCATTCCTGAAGGTAAACTTTACAAAAATGTGAAGAGACTAAGACCAGAACCCCTTGGAGTTTTTCTCTCTCAGACTTGTCCACACTGACCCAGCAATTCATCAACTACAGCTAAGGATTTCCTACCCCAGTGATGGTTCCCATAGAAGATTCTGCTTTGTTAAATAGTGATTCTCTGTATCCATATGCCTGGCTCCCCAATTTTGAGGGACAGGACTTTATCCTGTGAGCTCAATTCTCTGACAGATGTAAGAGTTGCTTTTCAGTTTGTTCAGGTATTTTTCTGGTATGAGGACAGAAACGATGACTTCTAAGATCCTGATGTGCAGAGCCACAAGTCATCATCCCCATTCTAAAATGAAAGAAAGGAACTTGGCAAAAAAACTAAAGTGAAATAGTCCTTTTTTTCCAATAGTGTATCTCAATTAATCTTGACCTATCCACTGAGGTCTCGTTGCCTGGACCAAATAGGTACTTCAAAGATTAGCAACATGCAGGCTTTGCTGCCCTTCACCATATCGACAAATCTGAAACTTAATTCCAAAGAAGAATATTGGGAGTGGTAAGGGAACTTCTCTTTCTTACAGAAATCATTCATTCCTTTGTTGAAGACAGATATGACCTAAGCTTGATTATACATGTGTATTTATACATACATGTGCGTGTGTGTGTGTGATGCTCCACACCTTACAATGGCATTACATCCTGATAATCCCATCATAAGTTGAAAACATCACAAATTAAAAATATAATTAATACACCTCACCTACCAATCCTTGCAACTTATCAATATGACAGAGTATCAGTTGTTTATCCTGTTTATCCATGATCACGTGGCTAAATGAAAGTTGTGGCTCCCTGCTACTGAATGTGTATGGCTTTTGCACCATCATAAAGTAAAAAGAGCTTGGAGCTGGAAACGTAATTCCGTAGTAGAGGGCAAGCTTAGGATGAATGAGGTCTTGGGTTCAGTACCCATCACAAAAAAAAAGAAAAAATTTAAATAAGTGTAAATGTGTATGAAGGGTACATGTATAAAAATATATTATGATTTCTGAATTTTTTTCAAACTCTGCAGGTGCATTTATCCTTCTAGAATATATCAAGAAAAATGAAAATGAAGTTTATCAAATGATATAAAAATGTTTCCTATTAGTAGCAAAGATTAGTGTTCTTTCAGATCATGCTGTAGCTTTCTCCTGGATTGGCTCCGGAGAGCTCCCAAGAGGGAAGAGAGTCTGCACTGGGGCTAGGTGGCAGTAGGTAGAGGAACACAGGGACCGCAGAGGGAGGACTGTAATCAAGGACTGCTGGGAAGTGAACCACAGTGGTTGACAGAGCTCCCAGTTCTGACAATGCAGTTGGACCACTGCAATGACAAAGAGCCCAAGTTCCAGCAGCTTCTGTACACACCCACAGATGCTGAACCCAGAGGGTCATTAGTTCAGTTCTGGGATGCTGGTGAGCAGCCAGCTACTGGTAATTCCAACCTTAAAAATCACAGCATGGGGCCGGGGATTTAGCTCAGTGGTTTTGCTGCCTGCTGCGCAAGCGCAAGGACCTGAGTTCAATCCCCGGTATCAAAAAAAAAAAAAAAAAATCACAGCATGAGGGAAGGTAGGAAAGTACCATTCTTTTTTATAGCAGTTCTGGAATTATGTGCATATAGACATATCGTGAAAAAGAGAATTCTGGGTTCTTGATGTGGTATACATATAGGTAAAAATTACACACCGCACACCCTGTGGTGAGGATGTCTGAGAAGGAATCCCATGTGGGATACTTGCTACCTTTGTTCCTGTGTAAACTTGGGTGAGGTTTTTGTTGTTTTGTTTTTTACAACTCATCTATATAATAGGTAATTATTGGTATATGTTAAATGCTTGATTAAAAGCTTTCATCATCATCTTTGATATTTGTCTCATTGCATTGAAATGATACATCAGACATTCATTTTCTTTCCAACTTCTTCCAATGCTATTCTCTGTGATGGAAACTGTCAATTTACAGAATTTTTCTCATTTCCTAACTTCAGAGGGCAAGAGGGTTCAATACCCAACACGTTTGCTCTATGGACTTTCGTAATTACTGAGGTTAACAATTTACATTTTCCCCTAACTTCAAATATCATGACAGGGAGTAAAGAACATTCACCAATGTACTCCTCAGTGTAGAAGTTGAGACACTGAAGGGTCAGTGTGCAGACAGATGTGTTCTGTGACCCACAGAGGCTGTGAGAAGGAGAACACATTGAAATGCCATAAACCCAGTGATAGCACCTGTTCTAAGATACTGTCTGCCACAGAGTAAATTCCCAAAATCCCTTAAACTCAGGAAATCCATGAGTGTAAATAGGATATTATAGAAATTGAGAAAATGCTGAGTTGCATATCTGGAGTAATATAAATAAAAAGATGAGAAAGGCAGTCCCAGGAACTCACAGTAGTGTGGGGAAGCTGTCCTGTCACATACCCAAGCAGCTGATCTTGGGTGAAGTTTAACCAAACCTCTGATACGGAATTGAGCAAACCATTGAAATACACAGTGTCATTATTTTGAGGTTAGAAATAATTTATATCTATATTTTGTATACATAATTGTTATCTTCATCCTTTCCTCAAGCCCCTCAAAAATAATGGTATTCACAAAAGCAGAAATCCCTGTAGACAAAGAGTCGACAGGAGAAACAGTAGAAAAGACAGGTCAACAACAGTTTGGGAACTTGAAGTGAACGGACTGAAGAAAGTGGAATCTTAAGTCTGCCTCAGAATCCCACAAATACCTTTACCTGGCAGGATCATAAATTGTCTCAGGGTTGGAGGTCACAAGTGTCTTGATGGTGGAGTGTGTCTAGGATGATCAACTTCCTGGTTTGCCTGGATCCAGGAGGACTTTTTGGTGCTAAAACCAACAAGCTGGATAGATGGTTGGTCACCTTAGGTGTGGCTAGAGCAGGCAAAAAGGGATTGGTGAAAAGTCCAAGGCCCACATCTCTCCCAATAGTCAATCACCATCTTTCTCATGTGCAACTTTGGTAAGACAAAATAAGTTTAAAATTTAAAAAATCATCACACATTTTTGACATTTGGAATTGTCAATTTATAAAAATTGAAAGGGCCTTTTTCTTAGCAACAAAGAGGAAAGCATCTGTCCAAATTTTTCTTTTGGATACAGACAAAATACACATAAGCTTTATCATTATTTTTGGAAGCAAGAAATAACAGATATCATGTTCTCAAATATCTACTTTTTGATAGATAGATAGACAGACAGACAGGCAGATATACTGAGAGATGAATACATAACTAAATCCTTATGGAGTACATTATATCCAAGATTCTCAGACATGGAAAACTCCACTTAAATTCCCCAAAATTATAATCTTCATGTTGGGGCCAGAACCAGTCACTTTTAAAGCTCCTCGTGTACTGTAGTTCTTTTGATCATTCAGGTTTAGAATTCATTAGATTAACAAACATCCACATAGAGGTCAGAGCAGGTACAGGCTGTCAACCTCAGTATCTATTTAGAAGGAGACTGAGTAATTTGACATTTAGGCTGAGATATCCAAGGTCATGGAAATGTGATCCCAAAGTTCTGCACCCACTGCTGTCGATGAGATGTCCCTCCTAGTGACATAGTGACAGCAGGTCTCACCATCATAATGTTGACTCTTACAGATAAAGCTCTGCACCCTATGACTCCCAGCTTGTCCAGACAAGCTGATTCTGAGAAATATGTTTCATCAATGACCTCTGCTCTGTAAGAGCCAGAATGTTCTGAGAATTGGTCCCAGGACTCATTGTCAGCACCCTCTCAGACTACAGGGAGGCATGACCCAGGAAAAGCAGAAATCATGCTGTCAGACCACATGCAACTCTGCTCCACTTAACTCTGCCAAAAGTACCCTTGACTTTTCAGCAGGCATTTTTACTTTAAAGACCACAAATGTAATTTACTTTCCCTCACTCCATTAGAAACTAACAGCAGAAGCAGGCCAGCATCCAAATTGTGAACCACAAAATAATAACTGTTTTTTTAAAGATCTCTTCTTTAGTAGAAAATAAAATGGAAACACAATAGACATACTCAGGATTATGTGGTATAAGGAAGACCTGTATTAAAATTATTTTACCTGGTAAAATAAAGTTTCCTGCTGAGGTAAAATAACACTGAATTTCAAGAATATTTGTTTCCCAATAAGTTTTATCTTTAAACATTAAAAATATTTAAAACAGTTTAACATGTGAATACTTGAAAAATGCCTCTATGTTGATATTGATCTCGCCCCAATCATCAGGATAGGATGTGTGTAGGGCAGGATCTAGTTGTCTATGCACTTATGACACAAAGCGTTATCCAGACCCCTTGTGAAGAACTTAGTATCTTTGTAGTCTATGTATTTTCATT